ACCGGAGTACTCGAGTGCCATTTTGATGCCTGGGAGGAAAAATACCCGGACTTGATGCGAGATTTGCGCCGAAGTTTATACGTTAACGATCTGCTGACCGGTGGCCAAACTGTACCGGAGGCTCGTACGCGGAAAGAGAAATCTATCGAAGTCCTGGACGATGCCACTTTCCAATTACATAAGTGGCACTCGAACGTTGAAGAGTTAGAGAGAGACGGTGATCAGTCCCAGAATCATGACGAACAGTCATTCGCGAAGCAACAATTTGGAGTTCAACCTAGTGAAACGAAGATGCTAGGCTTGAAATGGAATAAAGTGGAAGATACTCTATCCATCAACTTTCCTGAAGATGAACATGCTGTAACCAGACGCGGGATTCTCAGTAAGCTCGCCAAGATCTATGACCCCCTCGGTCTAGTGTCACCGCTGACACTAGAAGGGAAATTGGTGTACAGAGCGGCGTGTGAGTCGAAGACACCGTGGGATGCCAAGCTTGATGACAAACTGACACAACGTTGGAAGAAATGGGAACGAATCACCCCGAAGATAGAGACGACACCGCGGGCGATAATTGATCACAGAGAACCGGTCGATGAGCTAGAGCTCCACGCGTTTGGAGACGCCTCTACACAAGGAGTAGGCGCCGCTGTCTACTCAATCGTGAGACAAAAGTCGGGAGTCACACAGCGACTTGTAGTTGGGAAGGGTCGACCTCGGGTTATCTACTCAGACAACGGTCGTACATTCGTGAAAGCGGCGAAGTGGTTAGGTTAAGCAGTGAAGGACGAGCGCCTCGACAGCCATCTAGAAGAGTGCAACATCACGTGGAAATTCAACCTGTCAAGAGCACCCTGGTAGGACAGCCAGTTCGAGAGACTGATAGGTATAGTGAAGAAAGCAATGCACAAGACGATTGGGGGAGCGACACTCACTTGGCAAGAGTTAAGCGAAGTCATGTTAGATATCGAAACCCAAATTAATAGACGCCCTCTGAGCTACGTGGAAGATGATGTTGAGCTCCAAACCCTTGCCCCATCTACCTTTCTGTTCCAAAGGTCGAACCAACTGCCGGAACAAGAGCCATGGCGAGAAGAAGAGAAATCCCTGCGAAAGCGAGCCAAGTTCTTGATCACCTGCAAGAAGAACCTATGGAACCCAGGAATCCAGATGTTAAGGTTTTCCGACCGAAGCGAAAAGCTGCTGAAGAAGCTGATGAGCGAATTCGGAAGATTGCAGAGTATGAACACAAACAACTTTAAAAACTAAGGGCAACTTTGACTATTTTACTATTGACATTTTCTATATTCATTGTTATGTTTTATAAAAGTCTCCTTCATAACATGTATCTCCATATAGGAGCTACATGGGGGGAGTGTGTCGGAGACTGGGGATGATTGTGTGTTGATTTAATAATATAGTGCAAAATAATTAGAAAAATAATGCAATTAAGACAAACCAATCATAGGTGAGAATGAACTGAACGTGAGATAATCTAAAATATATAATGCATGGGACTAGTGAGAGAGACCAGACAGTGAGAGACCAGGGAGTGAGACAGTGATTCAAGTGATGAGAATGTGATTTGTGATTATAATTAATATTTTTAAATAAATGGTGAAAAAGTGACTTTTAGTGGACTACAATTCTTGGGAGGCAGGAAATTCACTAAATTGTTGAAAATTTCTTGCAGTGGGTATCTTCCATTTGTTTTTCATGCTTCACACTGTGTATCTTTGAACATTTAATCAGCAACTAATTATAGGCAAGGATATATTTACTAGCTCATATCTCCATATTACCAGGTACATAACTTGCAAATTATACATCAACCTTGCAATCCAGGCTTTAACCCCTGCAGTTGCCACTCTCCTGCAGCATGTTTGGGAAGGGAGAGGAAGGAATGGAAGTACTGTAATTTCTAAATAATATTTAGCCCCCTTCTCTTCAAGCCCCTTTCCAGTAACTCCCCCCCCCTCATTTGGATACAAAAATTAGGAATAAATAAGCCGCCCCCCCCTCATTTGGATACAAAAATCAAAAATAAATAAGCCCCTCTCCTCTTTTAACCATGCAGCCCTCATTCAATTTCTTAAAATCATGAAATATATTGCATTTCTGCAGTATTTTATTAAAATATAGTACAACGGTGACTCTGAATATGGACATTTTTTAATGGTAACCAGACTTATTGCATATATTTAGAACAAGTGCCCCCTCATTGATGCTTAGGAAACAATAATACACAGGAGGCTTGATAGTTGATACAGAAATTAAAGTAGTTATTTGATTGAAACTGGTAGCTATTTCAATTCTACTGTATCTCCTTTTATATATAATTGGATTAATTGCCAATATATTCACATAGTATAATAGTTTGGAAATGGAATCAATACTTGTATATTTTTAGCAAATGAGCATTGTTATTGATCAACAATGACTCTTATTGATATAAACAACATTGTTTCACATAGCAACAGACAAGGAAACATCTGTATTTAAATTCACTACTTATTTTTTATCCAGACACAAATTGATGTAAAAATTGTTTCAGGTTTGGCTTAGTTATAGCCTTACATCGGGCTATTCCATTTAATATCCATACCCCCCCCCCCGTCGAGGATCCCTGGATTCTTCAGGGGTAAAGGGTTTTGAGCATGGAATTTTGGAATTCTTTGAACAGGGGTGAAAGGTTTTCAGTTTGAAATTCTTCAGGGGTATAACCATGAAAAACATGTATCCTCGACAGGGGGTATACAGATATCAAATGGAATAGCCCATCATGCTGTCAAGTGGAAATCACTTACAAAGCAAATCTATAACCAAATGTTTTACAACCTGAGGAACTTCTTAAATCAATTATTCTATAATTTATACAGATGCTACAAAAACACCTGTCATCTTAAATTTATATTATAGATAACTCCATTTACAAAAGCACAAAGACCACAGGCTACAACATGTTGAGTGTTGACCATTGACCATAATGTACTGTATTGTTTAAAGCTTCAAGTTTTTAACACAAGCAAAAGCTGTCACTCCAAAGTCCTGGCAACAATATGTCAATTTAACAAAACGACAACGTGTGTGACGATTTCATTTAGCCAATTCTTTCATGCCATCATGGTTATAATGAATATACTCGTACTGTAGATCGATAAAAAGTCATTCATAAATACCATGCCATTTTGTAAGTATATACCCAACGTCCCAATACTTTTTCATACGATTAATATTATATCCTTTGATTTATATCGTTTGATTTCGCATTCCAAATCTGATAAACATTGACAATTCTCTCTTCGCGTATGTCCACGCGTAATTCTCGCAAAAAACACGCATTAATTGTGTCGGCGGCATTGATGATCACGGCAGCCAATCAAATAACGATTTCGATTCGATTTCCCCAGAGTCATGCCACAACCTAACCCGCGAACAGGCATACTCTGGGAACGAGATTGCTTCAGGACCCTCGTATATCATCTTTCAGACTACTGGCACAGAATAGATATAGAGCAGAAGGTTCACTCAAGGGTAAAAAGTGTGCCAGAATGTCAGCCGACTTCCGGCGTGGCCGCCATGTTGAAAGCAACCAAACCAGAGGAAATTTTATAGGAGTTAATATGGCGGAATGCGAAATAGAGCCACTAAAAGTGCTCTAGCTTTTTATGTATCCAAGCAAAACTCATGATACTTTGAAATATCATAAAGAAGAGGTTGTTCTTTGATTTAATTGTCACTATGAGGATGAGAAACGAATTTAAGCGTGGAATTTGGCCATTGTCATACATCGATTAATTTCACCTCGATCTTTGACGAATAGTGATAAACATATAAAGTTATATAGCTTATGTGTGGTTAGTCCGATCGCCGTAAAATATGTTTTGAGTGATAGGTTGGTGATATTTCATGGTGTATAAAAGGATTAAGGACGTGAATGCCATGAACAATGAAGGAAATAAATCGAGTTTATCGAACCTTCTGTGAATCTGTGATCAACTATTCAAACAGTGTAATTCAACTTGGCATACTGGCCTACAATCGTTTAATATAAAATAATATTGCGATATGAAAGAAATTGCTGGACCTACTTCTTCTTCAAAAATGAATTTTAGAGATAATATATTGACTTGAACCTATTGAAATCCTTTGGCTGTGACTTTACAAATTTGGTATCACAAGTGACAAGGCCTCCTATGACATTATCATGACTGTTCATTGATATTGGAAAAATAGTTTAAAGATCAATGCTTGGATGAATCAGGGAACTTCATTTATAGTCTAGGACCTGTATATGAGTTTGTATGCATTTTATTTAGGACAGATAATCTGAACTGTTTTAGGGCAAGTTGACCATGACGGTCAACATGGTAACGCTGTTCGAACCCCAATCCGGGACGAAACGTCCGAAACTGACCACACCCAAAAACAACGCTTTCGTCATACTGCTATCTACCAAACCATAAAAGCTTTGGCTATTCTGAGGTGCTTACATGGTTCAGAGATGGTACTATTGGGGGTGGTCATTGGTAAGTGTGAAATGCCTAGCACTAATATTTCACATGAAAATGGCCATGCAATAATTAGCAATTATTGGATGAGGTTTTTGTGATATGCGGAATTATCAAGATCGAGGTAAGCGTTATCAGCCGAGCCGAAGGCGAGGCTGATAACGCTTACCGAGACCTTGATAATTTTGCATATCGCAAAAACCGAATTCAATAATTGTTTTATTATACATTTGAAGAATAATAAACATAGTATTTTAATACTATATGATTCAATATGATTTCTTGCAAAGCTGTTCAAGTAAAACGTTTCTATAAACAAGTCTCCGGAAGTCCAACAGTTAAATTAATTACAAATATAAAAGAAACATATTATCGTTAAGATGTTAACGTATTAAAATATTTACTTGTTAAAGTAAACATTACAATTATGAAATGTACATTCATTTGAAAATTGAAATTTACACTCATTTGAAATGTACACTCATTCAATTTCACGCAACCTACACAAAATTCAGTTATCTGGTTATCTGCTAGCAGATAACTGAATTTTGTGTAGGTTGCGTGATTGCGCGATTTAACTGTAAGCTCTTAGCCAATCAAATTGCTTTTACCAACTGCAATGTATAATAATCATAGTTAAACGTCAATTTGTGGCTTGCAAATTCAGATAAACAGCAGTGGACTTACATTACCTTTTCCCCTAAATCTTTTTGATAGAAACATAAATGGTACTTATTTAAATATATTATCACTCGTTTGGTGTAAAATAGTTAATATTTTCTGACCGAAATAATAATTCGAAATGTGCCTACCTCCTGCAAATGGACGTATTTGGCCAAGTTCTCCACTTTACTCCGCTGTTTATCGGCGATCTCGTCGACATCCTAAAAAAATGTAAATCATCTCAGACATGATGGTATCAAGAACATTTTAAACAAGTTTCAACTTGGTTTCAAGTAGATCATACCTGTTTAACCATCGACAAGGTAAATCCACAACTTTGTCCAAATTCGGCGCCATTTTGTCATCCCATGTCGCTTGTTAGCAATTCAGCATTGTTACTCTTCCATCCAAGCCATTTCCATTCCACTAATAATAAATTTAACCCTTTATAACAGGAGGAAACTAAAAAATCTAAACAAAATATTAGAAATACGCCATTTTATCACCCTGTAAAATGTTGTTTACGAGTCCTTCAAAACATTCCGTACAAATCTCGCGTGGTTTAGCAACAGGGACGTGACAGGGGGGGTAGAGACTTGAAAAATGAAAGGAAAGCCCACACAGTATGGTAAAACCAACAATTAACATTTAATTTGTATGACTTTTTTATATTAATAAATAATAATATGTATATATTTGTCGCTACAAGAAATAAAACAAACATTTGTATGATTGTATTTAGCTTTTAGTGTATTTCACGCAGCCTTCTTCTATCTTCGTGAAATAATTCACCCCCTCCTGTCACGTCCCTGTTACTTTGTCACGCGATATTTGTACGGAATGTTTTGAAAGACTCGTGAGCAAAATTTTACATGGTGATAAAATGGCGTATTTCTTATATTTTGTTTAGATTTTTTAGTTTCCTCCTGTTATAAAGGGTTAAATTTATTGTTAGTGGAATGGAAATGGCTTGGATGGAAGAGTAATAAGGCTGAATTGTTAACAAGCGACATGG